CACATCACCTACTCCCTTTTATATGCCACTGTCATATTCTCAAATTATTACTTGTACTTCAGGTGGATGATGAGGCTGTTGTTGTCTGTGAGGCACTGTGGGGATAAAGGTAAGAGCAATACAGTAGGAATGTGGAGACACTAGCTCCACCATGAATTTACCATGTGAAAGTGCACATCAAGTGATGAACTTCTTTATGCCTCAGTTTTCTCAATTACTGTGAAATGTTTGATTGGACTATATAACCTCTAGATCCCTTCTATCTATGAAAGGCTATAATTCAGTATTATGAAGGCTGTATGCTCAAGTCCTTGGAAACTGAATGGGTCATACTCACTTCTATTTATAATTTGGTTTTTATCTTTGCACTCAATGCTCTTTGGAGAAATGTAGATTTCCATTCCTAAATTTTTCTAACCAACAAAGGAAAAGCTCTATTTTAGTTTGTTTGACAAAGAAATGTCTATAACTAGATTGAGTTTCCCATATTATATTTGCTTTGCCTTCTTCCATCTTTGCCTAAAAAAGGAGTTTCTAAAAAACCAGAAATGCTTTCTGTACTCAGGCATAGCAGGAATGAGGCTGCCTTGGCTGAAGGAAGAAGATGGTGCATATCTGGAGCCCCAGTGGAGCAGGACTATTTGCCATCTGCTGCACTAGTTGCCTCGTCTCCATATCAGGCCTTGTCTGTAGTTTGCTGCAAATATTAGGAGCCGAGCCACTTCCCACCCATGGCAAGCCTTGAACCCTTTGTATTCTGGCTGCCAAGATGATCTGAAAGCAGGGAGCCACTTTTCAGCTTAGGGAAAAACATGTGCATTAAATGGAAGTAGATTTTTCTTTTCCCTCCCTCTCGCCACTCCCAGCCATTTTTAAAGCTTTATACTAAAAAGGAGGAAGATCTGTCTGACAAAGCTGAGGAAGATGATGGAATTGCCAGGCCAGAATGGTTTATTAATGATCCATGGGAAAAAAACAATTGTCCTGCTGGCAGCTTCACATGTAATTAACCAGCTTCACAGAGAGCTGGCTGCCTTCTCCAGGCCTGGCATCCGCAGACCGCAGAGCTACCTGACACAGCAACACTGGGTTTCTAGTGAAATCTCCCTACTGGGAGAGGGGCATCCAAAATAGTGACCTCAACCCACTCGGCGCTCAGGAAACAAGACTGAGATGGCAGTGCTCCTCTGGAGAAGGCTGGCTGTGTGCTCGGGCTGACACAAAGACTGCGACCTCCATGCTGGCAACAACCAGCCCTGGGAACTGCCACTCCCACTGCTCACCATTAACTCACTCAGGTAAGTGGCTGAGCAGGGTTCTCTTCCAGGTAGCCCTCCAAATGCTGCCTCTCTGCCAAAACTCTACATAGGCAGGAGTTTCTGGGAATTGGCTCACTTTATGCCATAGCAGCAAACTTCAGCACTGATGGGAGTTGAGAGGGCCTGGTGACCACATTGGGTGTGGGGGACAATAGTTGCTTCTGTATAAGAACCAACAACCTTCAAAATATGGTACATAAAGGAGAAGCAGTAGCTGGGTTAACCAAGCTTTGGCTTTGTAGTCAGTGCCAACTTCCCTCTTAAGAGTCCTGGGATTCAAAGAACCCTGGTCCTCCCACCAGGTCAGTGAACTAATACATATTTGCCATTCGCAATGCACAGGTTTTAAAATGTGCATGTAAGTGTGTGGCAGCTAAATGTCCTATTTGGGAGGTGGGGGGAGGATCCCGCATTACCTTTCCCCAAGTGAGAGTCAAGAGACTGTTCCCAGTGAGGCTGATCAGAACACACACACACACACCCTCTTCCCATGATTGTTTTCTCTAGGGCAGAAAAAAGCTGAGAAGAACTGTCTCCACTCTACATCACTGGTGGATACAGAACTCTCTAAGAACAAGAACCCTTCCTTCACCCACAGCCCTGCTAAGGCCAGACCCTGGGCACTTCACATTCCCCCAGGGTGAGCTGAAGTTACTACCTGAAGGCTTATGAAGGGAATGACACACCTTTGCACCTTTGGCAAAAGCAGAGCCAATTCACAGGCATCATGGACTTTTCACTCACCACACTCAATTTACATTCTGTGGAAAAAGATAATAAAGGAAGGCTGTGTCCTTTAGAAAAAGGTCAGGGGCTAGGGGTGGGGACTTGGGAAGTGCTGGGGGAGACTGCAACTCCATCAGCTGATGTCGTATTGCCTCTGCTAGAGAGCCCAGCACAGGTGGGGAGCTCCTCAAATAAAGAAAGCCTTGGAGTTGGAGACCAGGCTCCACAGCAATTTTCCTGTTCAGTACCTGCAGTCTCCTTCTTCACCCAGCTTTGATTACAGGAGTCAAACACAGTGGTTCTCTCATTCCTATCAAAGCAGCTTGGAAAAAGAAGTAATCCCAACTGTAAATCAGCAACATAACAGGCATTGGGAGAGGTCACCGGTGGCTTGGTAGGAAATGGATAGCTCATGACAAATGAATTGGTGCTGCCTGCCATTTTTTCTTGCCATCACTTGAATCAATAAGGGAAAAGGTGAATTGCTATTGATCTCTTCAACACCTTTCAACGATACTGTACAAATTACAGAAACACAAGGGGGCGGGTGAAAGAATGAAAGAGGAAGGACAGATGAAAGACTGTCTGGGTGGTGTAAGGCTGCTGTATTTCCCTGGAGGCAGTCTTCCAGTCACTGGGTGTTAGGCATGCATGGGTGCACATGTGAGTGTGGCATGAAGAGCCCTTTCTCACACCTGGAAGGGCTGAAGGGCTGGCCACGGAGGGCAGTCTCAGGGGCCCCTCTGCACCTCACTTGCTGGCAGTGCTCCAGCAGGGCTACAGGGCAGGTGGAGTCATATGACTTCTCTTGATATGAGGCTGTATTATTGAGAAGTGCTGTGAATCCCAAGGCCTCATGAATTTTTGAAGTTGTCATACATTAGTGGTGCTGGGATAGGCTATCTCAACAACTGACTGTAATTCTGGACAGGAAAGCAAGAATCAAAAGCTTCAAGGGCAATCTCTAGCTATACCTTACTAACCTCACTCCCTGGCTGACATGCCAAGAAAATACAGACAGACAGTAAATAAGGCAAAACTATCTTGCTTCGTACTTGAAAATAACAAAGATCATGGCATCTAGGGCGCAGGCCTGTCCTTTGAAACACTCTTGGCAAAAGACATGGCATGAATATCAGAGGCCTGGGTCAAAATGTTAGAGGTCTGGCTGTAAACCTAGGGTGAAAGGGACACCGACCACACAGGCAAGAAGACACAGGTTATGATGGCTGGGGATAATAACCCATAACACAAAGATGAACATCTGATGTCTGATTTTCTTCTTCAGCTCAGGAATAGTGCAACCAGAGCAGCAAAGACTGAGGGAACCCCTAAGTCCTCTGGGACAGATGCTCTTTAGGATATGCTGCTGATCAGAAGCCAAAGTCAGTATTCTACTCATGTTCAGAAAAAGGCAATGGAAAAGATTTCATGGCATGGAGAAAGGGAAATATTGGCCAAAGTTTAGTCCATTTATGAACATCATGGTCAGATCTCAGGGTCCCAGACCAACAGTTCTCCTATTCCACCAACTGGGCGTAATTATTCAGTTGCTGGTGACAGAAAAAAACATTCTGATCACAGGTCCCTCTTCAGGTCACACAGTACTCTCAGTGCATCATCTGGGGTCTGGGTCTCTTTAGAAACCTCCCCACCACACCTGAGTATTCACCTTTTAGCATTCTCAAGGCAAAAGAGGGCTTTGTTCCCTCACTTTGCAGCTGGGGAAACCAAGGCAGGCAGTCACTGACGTGTGAAAACAATGACAGCCCTTCACAATGCTCCCGGCACCCTTGCTTTTCTTCAGAAACTGACTCAGGGTGTGACTGTATCATTCTGAAATCAGTTGATATCACAGTCAGCCAGTCTACCCATCTTCCTCCCACAAATACCTCAAGGGCCAAAACATAGGGCAAAAAAAAAAAAAAAAAAAAGGTAAGTTAAAAAGCTGCTGATGTGTTTAGAGTGGAAATGCTGAGATTAGGAGGAGGAAGTGGTTAAGTGCACCCTGGGTGTTTGGAAATGGCCACGTCTGCAGCCCTGGAAGCTGATGAAGAAGGAGCTCTAGCCCTCTATGCCAGGCAGGCCCCTCACTCCAGAGGTAGGGAGCTTGGCTGTGAAAGGGCATGACGGTAAGATACAACTATTTAGCAAACACCAGTCCCCTCCTACAAGGAATCTTCCAATTCTGAAACTGACCCTATTCTAAAATTACCAAGTGGCAGGTGGCCAGGCCAAAAATCCATATCCAATCAGTGCTAATGGATTGTTTGTTACATTTCCTCATATATATCTGCAGCACTGCTATGAAAACCCTGGGTCAGTGGTTTGAGATTTATTTAACTGGAGAGGTAACGCCACCCCAGCACTGCAAGCACTATAGAGATGCGTGAAGTGAAATGGCACAAGCAGGCTGCTGGTGGGGAATGGAGGGACCTGTTGGTCTTATTTGCATGACCTTCCACCTCTAGCTGTACACCCAATGCCAAATCCTTTTCTGCTAACCATTAAAAAGAATTCGACAGCATCAAGAGAAGGGAAAGGGGAGAAGAGGAAGGCATTATGTTAAGCTGAAAAGGAAGACAGCACAGTGAAGCAGTTTCCAGTTTGTTCTTTCATTCCCGGTTCAAGAGGTACCTGTTCTTGCTACAGTGACCCTTCCAAACGCTTCTTCTTGGAGTACTTTTCCTATCCTTTTCAGTCTTCTTTAACACCTAAATCTTTTTCATTTTTCATTTATTATTATTATTTTTTTAGAGAGTCTTGGCTCTGTCGCCCAGGCTGGAGTGCAATGGCACGATCTCAGCTCACTGCAACCTCCGCCACCTGGGTTCAAGCGATTCTCGGCCTCAGCCTCCTGAGTAGCTGGGACTACAGGGGTGTGCCATCACACCAGGCTAACTTTTGTATTTTCATTAGAGACATGGTTTCGCCATGTTGGCCAGGCTGGTCTTGAAATCCTGGCCTCAAATGATCCCCCTGCCTCGGCCTCCAAAGTGTTGGAATTACAGGCGTGAGCCACTGTGCCCAGCTTGTGTTACCACCTAGATCTTTCTTTAGCGCTTCTGCTGGCACTGTGCTATCTATCTTCCAACTCTTCAACTTAATGCAGGTCAAGAACAAATCTGTGGCAATCCTGGATTGTCGTGGTCATGGCAGGAAAGTATGGAGACAAAAAGGAGCAATGCTATTCTGTCAGAGGATAAGGAAGCCTGTGATGGCCAGGATCTAGATAGTTCATACCCGTATCCCTCATTTTCAAGTTGCAGTGACAATGTGAGAGAAGACCTGCATCAACAGAGAAAAAGCAGAGAGCCCTCACTGTTGGCAGATTAGTTTCCAAATACCCGCATGGCAAGTGGAGAACATGGCAAAGATGCTCAAACCATTATTCCTTAGACATCCATGAGGTATGTGTGCAGTCCTGGTGTCACCCCTCCCTTGGTGATCACTTTATCAGTCCATAGCCAAGTCTAGAAAAGGCATCTTGCATAGGTTAGGACTTGCTGGCATTACCTCCAGACCTTTGGTTTTCTACTGAACGTAATACTGCCTAATGTGTGGGACCATAAGGAATCAGAGACAAAGAGACCTTATGTTATTTTACTTCACAGAATAAAAGAATGGCTGATGCCCTGAGGGTACTTAAATACTCCTTTGCAAACTTAGACCAAGGATGGAAAATAGGTTTCCATTAAGTACCAAATCCTCTCAACTGGTAGTAGTAGCAAGGATCCCTGTTTTGAGAAGGATCTGAGCCCTGAGCCAAAGCAGCGCGGTGACTGACTGGCAATATCTGCCATGGGTGGACGACCCGAATAGGGGTAGCATATGCGTATGTGCCATCACTGGCTTAGACGGGCTGGGGGAGTGAAGAGCACTGGGAGGATTGTTCTTTGTTGATTCTAATCTGAATGCTGCTCACAACACACATACCTAGATCCAGCCTAGAACTCTACTAGGCTGTGCATAGGTTTTGTGCATACTGAAGTTCAAATCCTAAATTTCAGTTAAGCCCTGAGAGAATTTCTTTTTTTTTTTTTCTTTCTTTTTGAGATGGAGTTTCGCTCTTGTTGCCCAGACTGGAGTGCAGTGGCGTGATCTTGGCTCACTACAACCTCTGTCTCCCGGGTTCAAGCGATTCTCCTGCCTCAGCCTCCCAAGTAGCTGGGATTACAGGCATGCGCCACCACACCCAGCTAATTCTGTATTTTTAGTAGAGACGGGGTTTCTCCATGTTGGTCAGGTTGGTCTTGAACTCCCAATCTCAGGTGATCCGCCCACCTCGGCCTCCCAAAGTGCTGGGATTACAGGCATGAGCCACTGCACCCGGCTGAGAGAATTTCTATTAATAAAAAAAATGATGCTGCAAGCTACCATTCACTGAGTGTTTAATATCTTGGGTCGTGAGGAACAGTTTACATGTACACTTAATTTTCACAATAACCCTAGTGAGAAGGTACCCTCCTTACATAGGTGAGGCAATTAGGTTTAGCAGGATGGCTGCATTGTACAATGCTAGGGATAGCCTTCATATTAAATTCTAATAGGTACTGAGATTGCCCTCAGTTTAGAGAGGTTAAGGAATGTGTCCATGGTCAGACAGCAAATGGTGAAGATGGAATGAGAACCTAGGTTTGACTTTTCACATGCTAACAGAGTTTATGTTAAGAAGGAAAAGACGCCCTTAAATGTCCTGAAGAAGAGTCTTTCTCACTATGTGAAACATGTTGTTTTGACCAGGTTAGGGTATCTCTGTTGTTAATTCTCAAGCTTGCTCATAATCTTATTTCATGCACCACAGCATTTCATAACAGACCATTGGTCACTTTCATTTTCAAAATCCATTTAAGTGTAGCTGACCAGAAACCGTCACGGGTGGAGTAGCAAGTGGGAAGTTCATCAATAAAGCCAGGTTTGGAATACGGAGGTACTCTTCAAGTCCTTGGCAACAGACACAGGGAGTGGGCATGCTAATGGCAAGAACAGGGCAGGGTGAAGGTCAGCTCATTCACCAGAACAGTCACCCCTGTGTCCTTGGGGGAGTCACATGTGAAACACCACAATGTTACTATTACCTGGAGAACAAATGCAGTCTACAGTCTGCTTGTGCTTTGCTAGTGGCTCAGGTAGCCTTGCTATTATATATTAAGAGCTGTGTTCTAAAAAGATATGAGATGAATTATGTAATTCCACAGGGGATATTCAGACAATGGGCATAGCTTGCAATGTTTAGGACAAACAGAACAGGGAGGCCTGAAGCCTAAAGACACTCCAAACATGCCACATTAAAGTTCACTTACCAGGTGCAATGACTCATGCCTGTAATCCCAGCACTTTGGGAGGCTGAGGCAGGCAGATCTCTTGAGCCCAGGAGTCTGAGACCAGCCTAGGCAACATGGCGAAACCCTCTATCTACAGAAAACACAAAACATTAGCTGGGCATGGGGACACGTGCCTGTAGTCCTACCTACTTGAGAGGCTGAGGTGGGAGGGTCACCTGAGCCTGGGAGGTTGAGGCTGCAGTGAGCCATGATTGTGCCACTGCATTCCAGCCTGGGCAACCGAGTGAGACCCTGTCTCAAAAAAAAAAAAAAAAAAAAAAAAGGCAAAGCAAAGCAAGCTCACACTCAAACTCAAGTCTGCATGGGTGTTGGCCAATGCTCTGGGTTCAGAAGGTCTTCTGAAAACAAGTAGTGGGCAGGTCTGTGTGAGGTCATCTTTAGTTTGTCAAGAAATTATCTGCTTGTCTGTAGATACTGCCAAATTAGGCTTCCGGAAGGAAGTTAATAGACTTCACAATAACGTATTTCACCTGAAAAATAAAAATTCCGAGCTGCCTTTCTTCAGCCCTTTGTTATTAAAAATGTTAGCTTCCATCTTTTTCTTTTTTAGAGAACACTCACCAAAGCTCAAGAAGCAGTGACTATTGAGGATGATTAAAGAGGTAAGAGAAACCAGGAATTGTTACTAGGAGCATCTGATATATCTAAATGAAATAAATGGCACCCAGCTCTTCTAGCACAAACCCTACCTCTTGGGGAAGTCCAGCAGTCTCTTCCTCCTGATAACATTTTTCCATTTGTTCTAGGTCATAGGCCCTACATAGCTATAAGAGAGGGAGACCAGGAGACTGAATGTACCTGGCAATAGCTATCTTCCATAGGAATGGCTCATTAAGAATACCATTTCATGTCACATGGGTATTGGAATACCATGAGTGGCAAGGGTTCCGCTTAGCTAGGCTCTGTTTCAAGGACTTTCATGACCTTATGTGATCCAGTATGTGCATTCTCCAATGGCAATCACTGCCCACTATCCTCATCATCCAGCCTCAATTGAGATGAGGCATAAAGTAAGTACTATGGACCCTTCTAGCAGAAAAAACGCAAGAGGAAATCACACGTGAGGCTTTTATGTCTTTACTCTGGGCTGAGCTGGGTCAGACCTAAAGATGGAGAGGAAAAGTGAAACTGTCAGGTCTAAAGACTGTATTTCTTCTTCTTCTTTTTTTTTTTTTTTAATAGGAATAACATTAAGAAAAACAAATTGATCTGACGAGAAAACAAAACTCTCTTAAGGAAGAGTTTACTATAGTAGGGACCCATTCCCTAGGGGAAGGGAAGGGAAGCGTCTGCTGAAAAGGATTTTCTTCCCTGGGCTAGAATCACATCCTTGAGGCCTTCCTACATGTTCCAAGGAGGCCAAATCTCGTGTGGTCCTAAACTATTCCTCATTCCACTCCTAATCTCAACAGCCATCCTGGGATAGGAACACTAGCCTCTGGAGAGCAGTGAGGCCTATCAAACCTACACCAGTCAGCCCGTATGACATAATTACAGGTAATATAGGATCTTGGCCAAACCAATGAAAAATTAGGCACAGTACCTATTTCAGAAGAATGGATGCAATTCTATGCTTGACTGGCTATGAAAGTTCTAAGGAGAGGAATAGGGAAACAGCCAAGCTGAGCCAGCAGCTTTGCAGAGAGGAATCCCACTGGAGCCAGCACAGCATTGGCACCTATCAGCACATGCTGCTGAGCTTGCTTGGGGAAGGCCACCAGTGACTGGAGACTCGGCTCCTTCCAGACGTTAAAAGCTGATAGGGGAAGCCCAGCAGTCAGGGGAAGAAAGGCAATGGGGCAGCATCCCCCATGATACATTTCTACCTCAACTCTTCTCCTTGTGATGCCACTTTCATTTAGGGGCTGGAATGGGATTTGAGGGCCTGCCCTCTAGGGCTTTTGGAAGTACTTCGCAAAGGGCCAGGAGCCCAGAAGTGAAGGGGCTGTAATAGACAGATAACAACCTGGTATTCAGGAAGAGCTTATAGCCCATCTCCAAACAGGAATTTGTTGACCTGAAATTCCAAATTAACTCCTCGCTCATTTAGCAGTCTAATCCACAAAACAGAAACATACCAGAGAGGGACAGATTTGCAGACTATGTTTGGAGAGTGAAGGGACATGAATGGTTTCTATTTGAACACTAAACATTTTTCAAAACACTCATCATTATCTCATTACCTTTAACTATACTGGCTGGACAGACAGGGAGACCCAGGCAGGTGAGGGTCCTATAGTAAGTGCACAGTCAGGTTTTGGCTATGGACTTTTTCAATAAGAAGTTGATGAATTAGCAGCCATGTGTCCAGCCTCAATACTTCAACAGTTTTCCTCCCACCCTGACAAATGCCGAGCTTGGAGAGCTTTCCTAAAGAACCATAAAGGACAACAAAATAACAGGCCTTCTTCCCATTCTCTAGAATTAGGTCACAGGGAATCAATTAGTTGATTTGACAAATATTTATTTGTTGAGTATCTCTTATATACTAGGCACTGGAGTACGAAGACAAAACATGGTTCCTGTCTGTGAGGAGCTTACAAGCTAGTGGGGAGAGACTTGGGTCATAGGTCCCTTGTATACTATTGGTAAGTACACAACAGATGTATGCACAGGGTGCTGTGGGAACTGATGGAAGGATGTCTCATCTAGCCTGGGAGAGCAAGGGAAGGCTTCCAAGAAAAGGTGATGCACCTTCCAGAACAGGCGTGAACAGGTGTGAAAGCAAGCAAGGGGGATGACTGATGTGCTGGGCCGAGAGTGTAAGTCTACCTGAGAGATGGGAGAGACAAAATGTTATGGTATGTATAGCGAACTGCCAGTGTAACAGGTCTATTCTGATAAGGCACAAATTATGAAGTGAGTGGGGGTGGTGAGACATAAAGTTGGAGAGGTTATCAAGAATATATGTAAACTGAGATGAGACTTTATCCCAGAGGCAATGGGAAGTTATATATATATATATTTTTAAACAAACGCACCTACACAGTCAGATCTGTCTTTTAAGAAAGATTAGATACAGGAATATAGACATACATGAGCAAATGGGAAAAGTAAGGCCCACAAAAATCAAACAGCAGATGAAGCAGGAATCAGACAATCAATAGACAAAGGAGCTGTGGCAAGAGCAGAGTAAATATTTAGGGGAGGCATGGGCATAGCCAATCCTTCAAATTCCTCTGCAGTCTTGGAAGCATCCAGGATCAGAATCCATGCCGTATAGAAGACTGACTCTTAGTCAATGTGGGACTTTCAGGGAAGTCCTCTACTATTCCTTTAACTAGTTCCAGGTATTCTATGGTTGAAAAATGGTAAAATATGGCTAAAATAATTATTGCCTTCTAAAAGCAAAACTGGTAAGATTTGAAGAGAAAAAGCATTTGATTTGGAATGCAGATATTTGAGTTTTAGTATACGTCTTACCATTAGCTCTGTGAACAGAGGCAAGTTACTGTGCATTTTGGTTTCTTGAACTGTAAAACAGGGTTAATATTTTTCTTATAGGTTTGCTGTGAGATTAAAATGAACTATTATGCATGAAAACACTTTTAAAATGAGAAAATGCTATATAAAATTAAGGTTTGATCACTATTAAGACAGGAGTTTTTCTTACCTGAGCCTTCTTCAAAGAAAATAGCCCTTAACTAAGAATAAACTGCTTGAAATTAAAGACCACTGGTGGGTGATGAACTGTCAAGCATGTGTGGGGCGGTGAGAAAGGTCTTAGCCCCCAAACAGCCTTTAAAAGCTTGTGGGATGAGAGAGCTACTTAGAAAGCTGACCATAACATGTCCCCTTTTTCCTGGGCAGTGGCTGAGATCATCTAGAATAAGGGGACTTTGTGAAAATAAATGACATTGCCAGACAGCCTGCTTGCTTTTCTAGCAGGTAATTATTAGTGGCTCAGTGAGGGTTCCCAAGGGACATGGCAATCAGGGAGAGTCAGGAGAGTAGGCTGCACTGGATTCACCCTCACCAGGTGTCCTTTACTTTCTTGGAATTCCCTGTGGCTTGAACTGTCCTCATCCCTTTGATCCAGAGATATAACTTTGCTAGTGTTCCCTCTCTTGTGGGTCTCCTCGATAGGGAAGGAGCCTGCGCAGAGAGATGGAATGGGAAGGACTAACAGAGCACATACCACAGTGCTTGTGGGGTGATGTAGGGAAAGGACGGAGGGCACAGGAAGGACAGAGATTGAGATAAACTAGAAACTGCTTAGAGCAGTTTATCTATTTCAGACACGATACAGCACACTTGGAGCTACAATGAAATAAATGAAATCACTTTTTCTTGTATTCTAAGTTTTATTTCCCAGACACACACCCCTTCATAAATACACACCAATATTCAAGGCTGAGGCCACATTCCCCTGAAACATAAATACATTTTTTTCCCCAATGGCAACAGTTGCTTATAATGTTTTTCTGTATCTTTTTTTTTTTTCTTTTTAAAGCAGGGAGTAAGGGAGAGAGAGGAAACCCAGGACTCTGCCCTGGTCACTGCAGCCTGCAGAATGAGCTCCCTGGGGGACATCCTCCCTTTTAATGCCAGCAGGGAGAAGGGAAATAGGTCAAGGCAGCAGCCTGAGTTTTCAGCTGGGGCTGTCCAGCATGAGGACATCATTTTTCAGGCAGCAGCAAAGAGCAATTCTTATGTCTCAGAGAAGACAAAGGGGTCATCGAAAAAGGCCTTAGAAATGATCACCAAACCCACATACATTGCCCCTGTCCTCAGAAACTGTACCTCCTACAGCCTGGAACTGTGAAGTGAGTTAAACCATGACACTGATCTCTTTAAATAATACCTTATGGCCCTTTCTCTCAAGAGTTCAGGTTTCTCCAACACAGCAGTGAAAACACTGCTGTGCAGGCAGCAACTGGTCAGTGAGTATGTGCTGGCTAGCTGCCTTCTGGAAGAAAGTGAGAAGAGATCTGAAATCACTGTTTTATCCAGAACAAGGGCTGCAAAAAGGAAAGGATGGCTTGGGATTGCTAAATCAGTGTTTTAGGAATGGCAAGGCAGAAAAGAATCACATATGCAGGACCATATAAAAACTGGAGTGTGAAAACCTAGGGGTTTACACTTTTAAGCCAGTTATTTACCCATTAGCTAATGCTATCTCTCATCACTACTTCTGGGGGATGCTAGTAACAGGCACAACTCCCCATCAGGGAAGTCACACTATAGCTTCCTGTCCTTGACTGTGTGGCAGGGAACTGCCTTAAAGAGTCAGCTGTATGTGGGGCATGGGTCACCAAGTACATGCTACCCAACGGGACATGGCACTCAGCTCATAGTCACAGCTACAGCCAACAGATACAATAATCTCATGCAGTCCAGCCTCAATGGCAGGGGAGAGGAGAGCCAACTTAAATTTTCAGGGCTATTACAAGCCATTTAAACCCAATTCAGCATACCATATACAGCAGTAGTCAGCAAACTTTTTGGTAAAGGAACAGATAGTAAATATTTTAGGCTTTGCAAGCTATATAGCCTCTGTCATAACTACACAACTCGGCTGTTATAGTGTGAAAGCAGCTATAGACAATATATGAAAGAATTAGCATGGTCAGGCCAGGCGTGGTTGGCTCATGCCTGCAATCCCAGAACTTTGGGAGGCTGAGGTGGGCGGATCACAAAGTCAGGAGTTCGAGACCAGACTGGCCAATATGGTGAAACCCCATCACTACTAAAAATACAAAAAAAAAAAAAAAAAAAACAAAACTAGCCGAGCATGGTGGCGCATTCCTGTAATCCTAGTTACTTGGGAGGTTGAGGCAGGAGAATTGCTTGAACCCAGAAGGTGGAGGTTGCAGTGAGCTCAGATCGCGCCCCTGCACTCCAGCCTGGGCGACAGAGCGAGACTCCATCTCAAACAAACAAACAAAACAACAACAACAAAAAAACAGAATTAGCATGGCTGTGTTTCAGTGAAACTTTATTGTAAAAACTGGCAGTGGCACAGATTTGCCCACCCGTCCTAAATACCAGCGGAGTCAGGCTAGAAAGAAAGACTGAATTTACCGTTGTTTTTTTTTTTTTTTGAGTAAAAGTGATCGTCATTTGAGAGTTCCCTGGCTGCTTTGTGCTTCAAGGTCAGAGAAGCAGGTAATGGCACAGTGTCTCATTTATTGTTCTTCCTGCCCTGGGGCTGGCAGCACCAGAATGCCCAGACCACTGAGTTGGAATTGTCCTCCCAGATTTCCAACTCAGGTAACAGAACAAAAGCCAATAGGAACCAATGGCTAAGGAGGAGCAACATGTAAAATGGTGGTGTAAAAGAAGAAATGCAATGTAAGGGGGCAGGAGAGAAGTCAAGATAATGGAGCTGAGTGGTGGCCAGAAATGTGAGTAGCTCTGTGCTGACTCTGTGCATCACTGTAAAACAAATTTAAGGAAAGCAGCATTATGAGGTCTCAAGATAATGGGAGCCACCTGAAAACAGAGATAAAAGACTTGTCTAAAGCTTGAGGGCTCCACATGAAGATATGAGATGGAAAGACTATAATTCAGGCAGGAATTCCTGCACGGCCCACCTAAAGCCAGGATGATGCACTTATAAACATGGTGTAATTTTACCAGTGCCAGACACTCTGCATGCCAGCTTCCTGTTCTCTGCCTGGCAGAAGGCTGGCCTGGGGCAGTTACCATTACACAGCTCCTCTCCCCTCTGTATCTTTCTCAGGTCAGTTTATGGTTTCACATAGGGAAGTCCAACTTGATGACCTGGCCTTTGTCGGATCACACAAAGGGGCCCAGGAAGTACTTTGAAATCCTAAAATTTGTGGGCTTCATCTTTCCTAGGATAATGCAGATTTATGATAACCGAGGAAAGCATGCAGGGGACAGAGAAATTCTGGCCAAAGAAAAGATACAAAAAAAATTTAAAACTTTAAAGGGAAGGGATGGGGCAGGGCCAAGGAAAATCACATCTTCAAAATGCCTGGTTATCAGAGCTAAAACTCATGATCAAGGGAACAGGTAAAAGGTGCAAAAAACCAGTTTAACTGCAGCCATCCTAGCAGTGGCTCAGCTCCAGGAGAGTTCCTGCACTGTCATGCCCTGTGGGCAAGATAGAGGCTGCCTGGAAGGTAAGAGCTGCATGAGGTGGGAGGTCACGGGCCCACACTCAGGCATCCATGCATTGCTCAGGACTTCCACTGAGTGTGGCGGGAAGGACCTCTGCATCTAGGAGTACCAATGTCCTGGGACATTCCTCTTCTGCTAGATCTTTGTGGGGTGGGGGGAGTAGGACAAAGAGAAGCATTCCCCAGGACAACTTATGAAATAAAAATGGAGGTACTACATAGGTAAAAGTAAATGAATAAGCCTGTAACAAAACACAAACCTCTCCATTCCTACACTGTTCAGAAAACAGTTTTCATACATAATATAAAGGAAATGTTCAGAACAGTAGGCTATGACCGGATCTTTTAGTCAGATTTTTGAATTATTCATAGTTTAGGGAATACTCACATTTTCTCAGTGTAAAGAACTTTCAAAATGGCCAGCCCAAGTAATCATATAAGTAGTTAAGAAAATGCAGAAAGGTTCTTATTGAGACCCTCAACCTAGGGATATGAAAGATTGGGCCACTATAATCAAGAAAGATCAACTCTGGATCTGCAAACTCAATTACATGCCAAGAGCACCAAAGAGTTTCCCCAAAGAAAACTGGAGAAAAAAAATTTTTTTTAACAGTCAAGTATTAGCAAATATAAGACAAAGGTGAGGTCGCAATAACCATGGGAGCGTAAAAGAGCTTTGGGCCACTCACTCTTTTTAGTGATCAGTATTCTCTTTGACCCCCTTGTACTTCTGGATCTCATCAGTGGGCCAGAAACATGATCAAGAAGAAAGGTGGCTGGGAAAAAGACAGTTGAAAAAGAAAGGGAAAGAAACTTTAGGAGACAATGATGTAGGAAGACAAATGATGGTGAGAAGTTTGACTTAGCAAATGATGAGAATGCCACCAACCAATGCCTTGGGCAATCCAATGAAGGAATTTCCTTCCTCCATCCGAAGCACAACAGACAAACAAAAATCTGTTGCTGCATCCTTGGCAATGTCTTTAAGTTATGAATTTGAACAGACTCAGCTGCTTTTACCAACGTAGTTACTTTGCAGTTCATTATCCAAAATTAGAGGGAAATTCTACAATATCTGCCCCATCCACTTAATCCCTGGGCCACTTCAAAAATTGCAACAGGCACTTATAGACAACTGGAGTGTTTGGATTTTTGAAATACTTCTCTTGCACGGGGTTATTTTTAATTGATAAAAATTCAGGCAGCATTGTGTAATTACAAAACAGGAGAGGGGGAAGCACCTTCCATGTCAATATAAGGATTTTTACTTGGCAAGCATCTTCATAAGCATCTTAACAAAAACATCTTCACAAAAAATGAAATGGAGGGCACTGTGAATCTGATGACACAATTAAGCCCCCCAATCCCCCAATCATTGTACGGACAGCCAACAAAGCAGATGTTGTAGCTGATGTTTGGGAAATGGAACTGAGAATTCAGGATTTGTTTGGCCACTCCACTTTCTTCTACAAAATAAGAAGGCAAGCACTAAAGAAATATCCAAGAGGTGGCAACCAACACTTCTCTCAAGGCCAGGATAGTCCAACATAAGCATCTCGGACTGGCGTGGTCTCTTGTTCTCTCA